ACATTTTGTGAATAAAACTTGATAATTTAACTAAGGATATATATTATGTCTTTATTATATCAAAGATTACTTATTACTGTGACTATAAAAATTTGCTAGGCTGGATTAAATATTTTTATTCATATTGTACAGAAGAACACAAGAAATCTGATTACAGAAATAAAATTTTATCAAATGAAAATACAAGCTGGACAGCTGTTGAGACAGGACTTTGCCTGCTGTTTGTCATGTTTACTTACTACAACGTACCTAACCCATTACACAGTCCTTATAGATGCCGCCAAAACACTCTTTATTAGCATGATTCATTGTGATATGCAAGCAGTTGACCAAATGCTTCGATAACAAGGTCGGATCTTAGAAATTTTATGAAGTTTGGATGCCATTCTATCAGGAACATTATTTACACAGATCTCTGGTTCTATCAAACTTTGTACAGCATGCTGCTGTAACAGGGTTTCATAGAAGAACAACACTGCCATAACATTACGTGATCTAAGTCAATGCGACGCTTTGTAAAGTGTATTTAAGTATATGTCTTCAAACATTTTCTTGATAGAGAATCTTTACAAATGAAATCTTGATCCCGATCTTAAAAATGGACATTTCCAGCCCAAATTTTCTCAGTCGCGAAAATGCGAGTGTGTTTTCATTTTTAGTTGCAAAATCAATTTTTTGGTCGCAAATGACCATTTTAGTCGCAACTTGGAGCATGCAGACGGACGGATGGACAGACGGACGGATGGACGACGGACAAAATTTGATCAGAAAAGCTCACTTGAGCCTTCGGCTCAGGTGAGCTAAAAATAAATCATTTTCAGACTCAATACTCTGCTCTGTCAAACACAACAAATTATTACCTGGTTCCACATGGTACATTCTTGACTTCGTCTGTCTGTAGTGTCGTCTGCAACAATAAAAGGTGGACTTAATGTGCAATGGTTATCAAAATATCCATACACTTGTATGAACTCTGTGTATTACACATAATGATAATTGTTTTTTTTCCAAATAATAGATATATATAATAACCTCTTCTCCATTTCACAAATTGATATTACCTGCAATAAATGCAAACTGATGACAGAAAAATTGTCTTTAACAAAAAGAAATTGAGCTCACCTGTACTGATCTGAAGGATGTTATAAATGGAATCATAAAGTGGTATCCTGGGTTACTTGTGGTCGAAAGTAAAGCTCCACCCTAAAAAAGTGACAATTATCATTAAATATTTCTTATTTTCTTATATATACATGAAGTGAAAGTAAAACCAAATCAGATTGTCCGTTTCTAAATCTTATGTACTATTTTTAAACTGAACAATTTGGTTAATGCTGTATGAGAGAAAAAAAATAACTTACCCTGTAATAAACACCAACATGACCTGCAAATGGATGAAGTATATTTGAATTTACATAAATATTAAATCAAATTTAACAGATATATACATGTAAGATACATGTACTGACTTGGTAAGTACATACTCTAGCTTACATACACATAATGAGACAAAAAATGACAAAAATTGAAGAAAAATATTAATAATCATACAGTTGAACTTTGGTATCCCTAACACAGATATCTCGAATACCATGGACATGTCAAAGTAATTTGGAAGTCTTTTACCCTTGATATCTTCAATTATTGGATATCTCAAAGTTTTTGGTCCTGGTACCATCAGGTTCGAGATAACAAGATTTGACTGTATTACCAATTTCCAACTGAACAAAAAATGATAATGAATAAAAACCCAAACAAACATAAAAGGGAAAAAAGAAAAATAAGGACAAAAATCCATTATCTCAGTACTTACCCTCCTCAATTTTGTGGATTGAGAAGTTGACAAGGATTGCTCCAAGCGCAAGGGCCATACCCATTCCAACTAAGCCTGGCTGAGACATGTTTCAATTTTTCTGCAATACAAATTGATAGAAAAATTATGCTTTCAATTTCAAATGATGATATATTAGTAAAGTAAAAGTGGAAATAACTTCATGGAATAGCATCTGATGTGATGGTTAACCAAAATGACCGATTTAACTTCCAATTTTGCTTTAAAATGAATTGATTTAATTAGTACTAGAAAACATAAGTTTCCTCTGAAAAACAAACTTCAAATAAAAATATTAACTTCCATTAAAAAGTCTTTAAAATCATATACATTTTATATACTGTCTCTTATTAATTCCTCCAAGAAATGTTTTGTGCTCTGAAAACCATATATAGTACCACTCTGCTATTCACTAACTTCTTTGGAATAGGCCTAAATACGATTTGAAGGGCAACAGCATATGAGAAAAGTTCCACTAACAGAAAGCCACGTGTGATCTGGCCACAGAACAATTTATCTGATGCAAGTTAGCTCTTCGCTTTACATGATGACGCAGATCAAGGATCTATATTTCTAAGGAACACGTACTAACCTTTTCAAAATCTACTGTTTTATACATGTTTAGATCACCATTACTGCGCTATGATACATCAATATAAAAAAAGCTTCAGAGAATTGAACAAATACTTATTTTATTACCTACTTGAAATTACAGGCGATGTGAAATCCGAAATAGCGAAATCACGCTTCCTCAACTTTCAATTTTGGATGGGTGTGTATAAGACTAATATCGAGCCCGACTTTATTTCGCCCTCAGCCTATTTCCACACAGACCGATGATATATAGTGTATTTGTTTTATTCTCCCAATATCAACAAATGTGTGACAATATATCATAACATGTTCATCTTGAGTGCAGTTAAAAATGGGGCATACTAAGGGAACATTTTTTCTCTCTTTTCTTTTTCAGACATGCGAGTTTTCTGCTCGATTTTACACATGTACTACCGAAATGTTTCGGTATGTTCAACACAATATAGTGATTTAAAATCGTGACCTCCTAATTATAATTGCCTATAATTGCATTGTCCTCGAAATCGAAGAATATTTAACATGTTTAATTCATGTATGTTCCTCCAGTTGTTAATACACCATAACCCACACATGATGTATCAATTCCTCAATTAAGTCATATACATGTATGGTGAATTTGCTATATTGATTCAATGCCCTAAGCTTAATAGTATTCATGTGAGTCGATGATGTAACAGCATGTACTGAGCAATTATAATATGAAAACATATATAAATTTTACACAACTTCCTCTTGTGGAATTAATTATCACTTTCAAATTAATTCACGTTTTCATAGGGAAGGAAGAGTTTTGTACAGGTTGCCAAAGTCAAAACATTTAATAAAATTCTTACTTTACTGTGGCCTGCTATGATATGATGCAAGTATGGATTTCGAACGGTATTCAGGGATTTAGCATATCGTTTTTGAAAGGGGACAGTCAGAGTAAAAAAAACTTGATAAAAAATCTTCACAAGCAGTGCCCCCAAAAGGAAAATTGTCCAAACTCTTTTCTCATACACTACCACATTACCCTTAATTTACTATGCTGCTACAAAAGGACGTGGGTGGGCAACCGGCCTTTCCACGAACATTTTCAATGGTAAAGTTATGTTTGCCCCCCCCCCCCCGATGTTACGTGCCTGGTCTTTTAGTAATATCAAGAGCCAGCTAATTTTTTTTTACCAAAGTTTTCTAATTAATGTGTATCTTCATATTTTACTTCACAATGACTTAATTGTTGGTGCATAAATATTTTATGTGTATCAGAATTGAAAATCCTCCCTGTGTTTTATATATACATGTTTTATATATATGCATGTACACGTATGTAGTAAGTTTTAAATTCTCTGAACTTTTAAAACTTTAATGTAACATTTTAATTTTTAAAGTTTCTTCTTTTTTTTTTTTTACAATTATAGAGTATACCGAAAGATCACGTCAACTTTTAAAAGCTTGTTCAAGATACTCCCCTGCAATGATTTCACCTCTCAGCTGCCAGCATTAACTTTAATTAAAAAATAATAATCTCCACCAAAATCAAAAGGTAATAAATATCTTTAGCACTTGTTAAACCCGTTATAAAAAACGACTTCTAAAGTGTTACGATCAGGCACAGCTATTGGACTAATGACCCCGAAAACGTTTTATTTCCAATATCTTTTGCAGTTACATTCATTGTTTAGAAAATTAATAATTTTTCAACTCGGGTGAATTGTTACGGAATTTCATATATTGGGTGGAAATGTAAAGTCGATCACTTGATTTTTCTTTTAGGCTACGTGATTCATATTCCTTGATTTACGTTGGCATTTTGTGAAAAGCATTTCGCAAGATTAATAAAAATGTCACTATCTGAATGGAAAAAGGCAAGGAAACAGTCACCTTATTTTATTAAGAGAGATTAGCAATATTGAGACAACAATATATTAGCAACGTATGTCTCGAAAAAATTTTCATTATATATAATATATTTAATAAATAAATAACGGAATTAGAAATTCACACGAAATTTTGTACATTTCTTATAAGAGTTATGTTTCTTTCAATATTCTTTTATCATAAAGTGATTAATCTATGAAAAATTGTATGAAGAAACGTATAGTGTAAATTACAAGAAAAACTACATTTTAGCAGTCATTTTATGCCTTTAAATAATAAATTTTGAAGAAAACACACGCACACACACCCTCACACACACACACCTTTACACGCATTAAAAAAAATAAATTTACAACACCTGATCATGCACATATACATGTATTTCTCCTCGTATCATCTACGCAGGGATTTTTTTTTTTTTTTTTTTTTTTTTTTGTGTACAAAATTCTTATTATTCTCATAATTAAGATTAGGATCAGAACAATAACTGTATTTTTTTCTGCACAATTTTGTTTATAATAAACAGAAGTTTTCAGTAATCATAACAGTGTAGCTTTCATTACTGGCATTACAACAGTTGGCTATTATTATACAAAGCATCTTTTTGATAAAAACACGAAGAAAGATTCTTTCTCTCCCGTTTCAATTCTTCTTTTGTATTAATAATTATATAAAATGCCGTGTTTTCACTATTTCTTGATCAAATAATTTTAACTTAAGAAAAGGAGATACTAGTATTATGTATACCCTCAAGGAAAAAAAATTATTAAGGTATGCTGAATATTTTACCTACGAGGATATATTTAAAGAAAACCTTACGCTATCTCGTACTTTTTCCCTGCGGGATTTATTTGCTATCATATTTAACTAAACCCTTGACAGATAGCGAAACTAAATGGATATAATGTAGTTTTGGAATTTTTTTCGCTGTGGTATGGACATAACATGGACAAAACCATGGGACAAAGGATATTTTAGCAGGATATTGCAAAAGGTGTCGAATCTGAGGTGTGAATGAATATTTTAGTGGAATATTTATAGGATATTTTATCGGAAGAAAAATCAGTAACCTAAAAAAATTCAATGGACATTTTAGCGGATTTTTTTTTTCACAAGTAAATATACTTCTCAATATGAGGCAAGTAAATCTTGACCAATTACAAAGTTATCAACCTTACGATGGCTTCAATGGCATGGTAAAAGCAAAACCAAACTTATACAGGAAAGTAAGATGGTAGAATTGATAGAATACTTTAAATCAGACCCTTTTTATTTCTTCCCATACCACTCTCATTCATAATCCTACTCCCATCTCAGGCATTAATGGTAAAGATTGGCTAACGGAGGAGATATAGTTATACGTATATGTTTTACTTAATGTTTAGTTGAAATGTCCATATCCTATTTCAAAATTTGTTAAAAGTTCCAACAAATCATCCGTTAAAATGTCCACAAATTTCCCGCAAAAATGCAAAATGGCCTATCAATTCGTAAAGTATGAAAGATCTATGGGCAACAGGGGTTCGTCGTGCATCAAGATTCTAAGAATTTGTTTCTACTTTTTTTAACTCACTGAAATAATAGTCAATATATATGTTCAAGTTTGTAAATTTTTACTAAATGTTCACATGCCTATTCTAGAAAAAATAATAAAATCACTGCGACCAAGGCATGAAAAATAATTTTAGAGAAAAATTATAACAGCGGCTCATTTACAGAACACAACATGCTGTATATTCACAGGGGAAAATATTTTTAATCATTTGTTTTAATGAAAGATTTCTAGATTTTATGTTTGATCCTTACTTATTTCTTTATTATTATAAAAAAAGATTCCTATACATGATTTGTATCAAAGAAATGCATAGAAATGGCATGAAAAGGTGAAAAGCTGCTTATTTCCAGACGAATTCCAAGATTTAAAACTTATCTATTTTGTTTAAATTACATGTATCTAAAACACAAAATTTTGCATTATAGATACTGAAGACGCGGTGTTCCTCGATATATTTTCGGTGACAACTATTTCCTACATGTATCTTCGGGCGATTTTGTATTGTCTCAACACTTTTTCTCAGAATAACTTTAAAACTTTGGGTTATGTGGTATATTGTAATATATTATTATAGTCCGAGTTATTATACTTTCATTTTGAATTTGCTAAATGGAAGAGTTTTATTTTTTTGCGGGTCCATTAATTAAGGGAAGTACTACCTAAGTTTACTATCATGCAAGATATATACACTAAGTATATATACTATTTTGTATCATCTGTTATTTTTATTAACAGAATTACTATTGGGTATATCTTAAGCTATTGAAGGTATAAAATATTTATTAACTAAATATTTCATATTTAAATAACCTGAAAAAATATGGTATATATTTCATGTTCTAAACAAATAATTCCGAGCAACTTCATGTCTCAATTTACAATACTGTAGTTAATGCCATAGGATGCTCACAAAAATTTATGAGATGAAAAACCGGTTTGCACGGACCTCAAATATTATTGTTACAAGACACACCAGGCTTTCATTTAAAGTCATCGTTATTCTCCAATTATTATATTCCTCAAATCTATACTACATGTACATATCTCTATATTAAAATTCAATGCAAAAAATGGAAAAATGAAAAAAATTTTCCAAATTGTCCTCATGCAATTTCTAAAAATTGAATTATTTGTATTGTATGAACTTAAAATAAGAAAAAAAAAATTCAACACATAAATTAACATTCATATTAGATAACGAACTATTTTGCATGTCAATTCAGGGGTTGAAAATCAGCTGATGAAACCCTGTAACATTTTAACAAGAGAAAAATAAAGAAATATAAAATGAGAATGGCTGCTGTGCAAAAAATCGTTTTTCAAAAATTGCATAAAAACTACTAGCGTATTCCAGAAAATTAATACTTTCAGAAATACGTCAAATCGACAATTACTTTCTTGAAAGAATTTTTCTGAAGATAAAATCTTTTTCAGTGAAACGTCTTTAGCCAATTCCCGTCGTTAACTGTACTAAATTATAAATTTGTTATTTGTTCAGGGGAAACACTTTAGTAAACCGTACGATTATTTAATAGTGTTAAAAGTTAATTTATTGTGATAATAACACTATGACAAAATAATCAGCAAACTAGTGATAGCTCATCTTTAAATAGGTGCAAAAAGACAAAATATCTTTAAAAAATTCATTAAGTTATTTAAAAAACTTAAATGCATTTATAATTTTAACACGATATGCTCGTAAAACACTGATGAATATTTTCTTTCAAAAGAAAGTCAAATTTTCGGGTCAAAGTCATGAGATAAAAAAATGTTAATACAAAAAGATAGATCTCCCAAGGTAAATTACAGTAAAATATGAAAGTTCTAGCACCAAAATGTCCAGAGGTCATGACTAAAATAAAAGGTTTCAGAAGTTAGTCCAACTCCAAGGTCTTAAACCTCAGTCACATTTCCAAAAACGACCAACAGCCGATGGTGTTTGAGGCAAAAATAGATTCTTCGGGCGACAGTCGGCTGTTCGTCGGTGGTTGTCCGACCAATTTTGTGTCTGTCGGGCCGTGTTATAATTCTTTTTTCTGCGTCGGTGGCCAATTTCTTCAATTAAAGTAGTCGTTGAATAGTCTGTCGACCAACCTTCGATCATCTCCGACCATCAGCAGACATTTTATTAAGTCGGTCGGTCGACATTTAGGAATTGGTTTCCGTAAATGTCGGCCAACGGTTAAAATCAAACTGTGGCTTATAGCGAACGATGATCGGGCAACTGTTGGCCGACTTACAATTATTTAATTTTTGAAAATTATCGGTGTTCTTAGGAATCAATGTGACTGCTCCGCGTCGACCGATACTACGGTCGGCAGACCATGTTTTTCAGCCGACGATACGAGAAAAAAATTAGTCGCCCGCACATCGGCTTAAATGTGACCTAGTCAAAAGTCATGAACTCAAAATGTAGGTACCCAAAGAAAAGTGTTATATATATGAATTTCTTGCAACAAAGTTGTTTCGTTTGGAATAGGCCAAAAAAAAATTAAAGCTTTTCAAATTAAAAAAAATGCAATGGAAATAAAGACATATCGAAGAACTGGGAAAAAAAATTACATGTACTAGTATTTCCCCAGAATCTTCGTTTACGGGGGCATACAACTTTGTTTTTCTGGGTTTCGTTAGATCTAAATAGATCTTGCTGAATTACCCCGAAAAAGTTTAAGATAGATACACAACCAACAATATATGTATTGATAATGAGTGAAAACATTGAACAATGGATTTTTCTAGAAACAAAACCAAGATTCAACAAAATCTATATTTGGTGCACATCTAACCTTATATAAAACAGTGAATTATTGTGCGTTTCTGCAAAAGAAGCTGGGACTATTGGATGAATCTCCTACCCAATCAAAAGTTAAACCTTAACACAAACGGCCCGTTATTTGGATCTATATTTTTGCACAAGATCTTCTTCATTTGCACACTGAGCCTCCCCGTTATCTTCCTGATTGTGAAGAAGTGTATAACCTTCCAACCGGAAGTTTTTCCCAAGGAGAGCTTTGTTCGACAGTTAATGAAAACTTCCGTAGTCATTGATTGATGCAACATCTCGCCCCAACAGATAACGTTTCGTCTCGATTGTCTTCTACTTGCTCAGATGACCTTTAAAGAACATGCCCCCAAAAAGCTTCCCATCGTTCTGGTGGTCTTGAGATTAGAACAGAAACTATTCAGTTGTTAAAAAGACAATGTCGATTTTTAAATATAAATGAGGGATCTCTTGCCGTGTTTTGTGCAAAAATTTTATAAAATCTATAGCTCTTATGAGAATTAAAATCCTTCTTGAAATAAAAATGTCTGGATCTCCTTCAAAAATACTCATTTTGAAGCCTGTCTAAGTACAGGGGCCCGTTTTACAAAAGAACTTACGATTAAGACCAAAAACTTTCGATGATTGTAAAATTTTGCAAAATTAATCATTCTCTTTGATATTGTTTCTGTAAAAATATCTTACCACCTTTAAAAAAGTTTAAAATAATTTTCAATATAAAGTTAATTAAAAAGTTATATGAGGAATTAAATTGTGTCTTAAGTCGTAAGTCCTTTTGTAAAATGGGCCCCATATTTGTATCTTTGTTATTAACATTAGTGCATTAACTTTATACTAACTAATCGACATAATAGACGTTTTTTGTCAGTGTTTACTGTTCTTTACTTTAAGCTGTAAGTTTGATTTTTTTTAAAATTAGAAATAAACTTTGCAACATTTTTTTAATAAAATAATTTTCCAAAATAAATGCAAATCAAATAAAGTCATATATTTTCTTTAAAAACTGAAATATGTTTTAGTTTGAAATATTTATTTTGTCTAATTCATAAAAATCTTTGTAATAGTGTATGTTGCAGTAAAATTTCTGCATATGCATCAACAGAGGAATTTTACTGTACTATTTTTCATCGATGATTCATGTTGTTGACGAACATTCTGCAGATGTACAAAATACTATGAAATGATTTATAATTGTGGATTTACGATCACACCTCAATTAATTACATATTTTATATCAATTCAAAGTTAGGCACGTAGCATCAGGATTTGATATCAGAGTAAAAGGCTATTTGCAAGAGGTAATACTGTAAACAGCAGTTTATTCAAGAAGTGTACAGAGAATCAGATGTGGATACCAAAAAAAAAACCTTATAATTAAAAGAAAATAAAAAAAAAACAAAAAATTAAAATCACAAAATTTTAACAATATCGATAACATCAAAATGTACGACTTTTCAGCAGTTTTACCTTTTTTCATTCCTCATGATAATTTACAATTGTAAAGTGCTTTTTGACATACCCCCGGTAGTACACAGCTGCTTTTTCAATAAAAATGGAATGAAACTCGTTAGTATACATACCTTGTCATTAGTCATTTTCAAAATCATTTGTTAAACATTTTGATTGTACATACAAGTACTGTAAAGTTGATATTAAAAGATGCTTTTGTTTCTAATTGACAATATCTATGTAATTCAGGAGATCAGGAGATCCAAGAAGGATATGGAGATAACGAACAGTATTCAATCTCAAAGTCCATAAAACAATACAAAATAAGAGCAGAGCAAACACGGACCCCCGAAACATCAGAGGTGGGATCAGGTGCCATGGAGGATTGAGCATCCCCTGCCGACCGGTCACATACCCGTGTGCTCCTTGTCATGATCAGGAAATAACGGAAAAAATCCGTCGTCAATTCAGTGTATAAATAATGGACTAACAATAGGTATGAAAAACGTCTGTCAGCATTTGACTCAGTGATAAATTGTATTTGCTGACATGGTTATTGTATCGACCATAGAACATACGAAATGATGACGTTAAACGAGACTGTTGATATTCTTGTTTCATCAACTTGCTTGTCAATAATTTACCTCGTCTTAGAAATTGTTCATACGTAGAGCATGCTCTTGCGTATCGAATCAACTGAGATATATATACTCCGTATGCAGGTGATGAAGGTATATTGCTGCATAAGTAAGGGAAGTTGACGATAGAAAAGTTAAAGTCATCACGTTTATCATATAGCTTGGTTGTTAGATTACCATTAGTGTCTTTTTCAAGTAAAATATCTAAGTATGAAACAGAAGTGTCGGACTCTGTGGTATCTTTTATCTCAAGCTCATCAGGATATATCGTATCGACGTAGGAATGGAAATTACCATTATTAATTGACAATGCGTCGTCGATATATCTAAATGTCGAGTTGAAGGCCAAAGCAAGTGTTTTCTTCTTTTCACGCATAAGATTTTGCATAAATTCTACTTCATATGAATATAAAAATAAGTTTGCTGGAATTCCTCTTGGTGCCAATTGCGCCCCGTTCTTTGCAGACCTAATTTGTTTTCATTTCAGTGAAGCAGAATTTATTCAAAAACTTCTATACATGAGCAAAAGAAAACACTTACTATGGCCTTTAAACCGACATTTAGATATATCGTTAATGTATTATCATTGAACAATAATTACTTCAATTTATAGGTCGATTCAATATATCAAAGTGCATTCGAAGTAAAAAAAAAACCACACAGAGTCTAACATCCGTTTCATTCATATATGGATATTTTCCTAGAAAAAGACGTTAATGGGAACGTGACAATTGAACTTTA